TTGCATTTATACTGGTTATGGATAAACACATACCCTGATTAAATGTTCCTGGTGAAGGAGTCTGTGTGCAGAGCAGCAGAAGTTGAAAGGACCTGAGAAAAAAAAGAAATTTTAGCAATGTTTGCATTTATACTGGTTATGGATAACACATGCCTGATTAAATGTTCCTGGTGAAGGAGTTAGTGTGTGCAGAGCAGCAGAAGTTGAAAGGACATTTTAGCAATGTTTGCATGTATACTGGTTATGGATAAACATACACCTAATTAAATGTTTCTAGAGAGATTTCTAGTAAAGTAGTCGGAATGAATATTCTTGCATTTTTGAATTGGCAGTTGAACCAGGATCTGGAATAAAAAAATATTAGAAATGTAAACATTGATGTTGTATAGAGATTTCATAAAAGTGTTTATGCGTTACCAAACAATCCATTGTGATGGGCTCTGTGTAGAGTTTGAATTTTCAATCTTGAATGAAAAAAATTTTATAAAAAAATGAAATAAAATAAAAAATTAACAGCATATGAAAATAGATAAGCTAAATATTGATTTTTAGACACTTAATTGAACTTTCTTCTTAGTCCCCTTCAACGAGCATTTATTCATAAGTCTAAGAAGTTCTTGTGGTCTTAAAAATGTCATTGTTTGATAAATTTCTAAGTTATTCATACTTTGAATGCTTTCCAAATATTTTGATCGTATTATTCCAGTTGACTGTTGTGTAATAATCACAGTGTCCGATCAAATATGCATAAAAAAACAAATTATGAAGTTACAAATCAGTAGATCTAGTAAAGAATAAATTAAGTATAAAATAAAATAAATGTAAACTGAATTTTCACTCGATATTACTTGGCTATTCGATACTTAACAATTTGTTTGATATGTTACGTTGCGGTTTACATGTGATTTTATCTTGATGCTCAGAAATATAGTTCTGGGAATTTACCAGCAGTTTAATAATTGCACTTGGTTTTATATGAAATGCATTAACATGAATTCACAATAATAAAAATTGAAATGTAATGTAATACTTGAAATCCACATTGCATAGACTTATAAGATTCAAACGACCACATTATATTTTAGTAGTAGTAGAATGGATTAGTGTTTGTTAGTATTTGTTAGTATTATTAGATACTAGAACTAAGAATGCAAATCATGCAAATGATCATTTGATTCATGAAAGCCAATGCTTTAATGATTTCGTAAATTTGTAAAAGATAAAGCAAAAACTGAAAGTATCAATTAATGAATATCTTGAGTAAATTCACAGTTCGATAAATACATTCATACCTAATGCAATTCCAATAAAACCACAATTAGTGCATTACAGTGACATGAAAATTGAATGACTCTGCACAAAATGCCACAAATTCAAACGTACCTGCACCTGTAAAATACAAAAGTTTTTATTAAATTATGATGAACATCTCATTAGGTATATTATTAAATAATGTTGATACGTCACCAAAGCTGCCTTCGTGAACTATGCAGTTGCTCCAGAGAAGCACAAAATAGTCATTATCTGCATCTTCATTTTCAATCAAATTCTAAGAACTATTCTGTGTAATTTCCTTCTAGTAAATGAATAAAATAGTGTATGAGCACAAAGCCGTTCTTTAAAATTCTTGATAACATGAAGATTGTGCTCCAACATATGCAATTCTTCTGATCTATAAATTGAAATGAGTTAGCACATAGTAATGATTTAAATAACACTTAAAATTAAACTATATATACAACTCACAAACAGATTAAGTCTCTCGATAAAAATGTTGTTTTATTTAACAATAGACATTATAAAATGGAATATTTACGGTGTGCGTCTATGGCACTAATTCGACTTGAGCAAGCTATATACATAATTTGTTTGACGTATGACGTAACACTGTCGAACATAAAATGAAATCCGAGCGAATCCGTAAAGCGAAATCTATTTAGCACAATTACAACATACCAAATTATCTTCCAGGCAGCAATTGGCAAGGGGGCCTCTGTATTCCACGATGTTTCTTTGATCAACTCCGATAAGAAAATGATTTTATGCCATGACATTCCACAGACTGGCATAAACCATAGATGTGCAAAAAGAACTTGTAGATATGCGACTACAGAGCGTGCGAGTTCGTGCGGTTGAATTTGGAGCTGGATGTACTCGAGCGCCTCTTTGTTTGGAAATCCAACCAAGATTTGTTTGAATCTTTAATTTTAACAACAATAAAACTGTTATAATTTAAATAAAATAACATCTCTTCATATCTATATTGATGCTCGATTTTTTTAAAGTAAGTTGTCTATTAATTTACACTGCAAGTATTTCAAAAGTTGTTAAAAACTTATATAACTAAAAATTTTTTTGGTTTTGAAGTGATATCTAAAGAATGAAAATACATTTTTAAATATACTGAGATCCTCGACCATATCATTGAGGTCAGCACAGAATCTGCCTGAAAACGCAAAAAGTTGTCAGAAAATTCCCATAAAAAACGTGATATTTACAAAAAGTCGATTTTCTGCTCTCCTGAGCAAAAAATGGACAAAATTGGAGCGAACGGGAGGCCTGACAAATGTGATTGATTCTCACTTGAACTGACATTCTTCAAAAAAAAAATCACAGTCTTTAAATATATATTAAATTTACATGCTCTAATTATTAGATACCTTTAATTTCCAAGATGTAATTTGCCATTGGATATTTGCCATACTATCAGATGATGTCAGGGCTGTATTTTCCGAGGGTTCTAATATTATTATTAGTATGTTCTTCGCATTTTTGATAGAAGTTCTCTGTCATTGAGTGTAACAAAATGGCTTATAGTTTGTAAGACTATATATTAATAAGCGGTCATAGGCTGTTAGGCCGATGTTTCGTAGTCGAGCTCGCAGTATTAACAACTGTGCGCCATATGCCATCTCGATATGTTTGATACTACAAAGACCATGGTTTGTCACTCGATTCAAAACGTGTCAAAAACATTTTTCCTTTCAATATTTCATAATATCTAATTGTCCATTGATTTATGTTTTTGTTTTATTTACATAATTTATTTGATTATTTATTTACTTGAGAAAACGTGACATAAATTTTGAAAATTGTATTTAATTAAACAATTATGAATACTGTATATCTGTATTTTGAATATGTTATGTACAATTAAGTTTAATTATATAACACTATCATTTCAATACCTTAAATCTAGCTCTAGACTTAACCAAAAATACAATTTTAAATTTCATTTTTCAAACAATAGTGTTTTATAATAAATTAATTTTCAAACACATTTTCAAATAATTGTTACTTTTGATTTAAAATGAGTATTTTGGAAAAGTTAATAGTTTCATTTATTTATTATATAACCATTATAATAATTCTTACATTTTTCACTCTTTATAACTTACATACTGCTATGCAACAAGTTTTCAATAACAATTATAATTAACTTCGAGTTTTACAAAGATTAAATATTTCAACACATTAGACAATTATGTCACTGACCTTATGTATTTACAAATATTAGAATAGCGCTTTCGTGCTTTTTATATTAGATTTCGATATAAGAATTGGATACACTTGTTAAAAATATACCGATTCTATATACAAACATATCCAAGATAATAAAGTTAACTTAATATTTCGTTCAAGAATATTAATTTCAGAGTATAATTTCTAATAAAATTTGGTCACTTTAACATTGGCAACTTCTTATAAAATTAAAATTATTTTTAAAACCTATCTCGCTTCTCAGCATCTTGAAAGTGACTAAGTTCATATAAAACAAATAATTCTATCCAATTTCTCTAGTTACTATTGAAGAACATAATTTTATTACCTCAATATTTTCAATACATTAGTATTTTTATTAGATTTATATACAATGAATCCGCAATTAATTGCAAGTTTTACAAGGTTTGATATAGATAGAAATATTACAGAATTAACTATTTATTACTATAGTTCTCATTGCTCTTGTATATGTTATATTTTTATGGCAAACAAGAAATATATGTAAATTGCAAAATTAAAAAAAATTGCATACTAATACTGAAATCGTTAATAATAAAATGATGAATAATAATAAACAAAGATCTCAGAGTCCAGTCCAAATGCATTACAAGTTTTCGTTTATGCAGTTAAAAAATATTGATTAATGCATTCCAAGGCATGAAAAAAGAATAGCAGTATTAATTTTTTTTATTAAAAACAGCAAAACAAATAAGACAAGATAAATTCCAATTTCTACAATAAACTTTTCTTTATCATACTTTTATAGAAAGTTGCATACAAATGCTTTACTATTCAAAAGTTTTTGCAAATAAAACTCCAAACTGTTAATTTAGGGATTTAAAAAATTTAGAACTTATAATCTCACCATTTCCAAATGAAAGCTACCTTAATGAAAGATTTATATAAGATTTTTTGTTAAAGGGAATTCAAAGATGTAAAATGCTATTCTTCAAACTCACCCTTAATGATAATAGCAATTTAATGTGTTGGATGCCTCAAAATATATTAATTCTTCTGTGATCTGGGTTCACAGTACTATTATAAAATAAAAAAAATCAAACTACAAGCAAAAAAGAGTCTAATGCCACCTTTAACCGTAAAATGTATGAAATTAACACTAATTTTATATTATTATAATTAAAAATAAATTATACTCATATTGTAAATAAACAAATTATTGAAGATAGCATAATATGCATAAACTTCATCAATTACAAATAACAAGCCTAAATGATTTTTCCTCTGTTAATATTTAATTGCAGGACATTCCAAAGCAAACCTAGGAATTTAGAAGTATTTGATATATAAATGATGAAATACTCGAAAGAATCATAGCCAAAAATCAAATTACAAAAAATAACAAGTTTTAGTGCATTTAAACAGAGATAGTGAAATATTTGAATGTAGTAAATTTTGAATTGATTATTTGAATTAATCCTCACAAATGTATTTAGGCTTGCGATGCTTCAGTTAAAAGTTTAAAAACCAGTCAATAAATAAAATTTAGAAGTCGCAAAGTTAAAAAAAGACTCAAAGGTCATTATTATTACAACAATAAACAAGCAACACAATTAAAATATAATCAATAAAAAGTTTTTACATTTAAGGTACTGAGCCATTAGATTTGTGAGAATTTCGTTTCGATGGAACAGTCCATGAAGTGTAGGGCCCTTTAGGCATCAGACCTTGTCACAGTGCTTCTCTAGATGGCACCCAAATGTTAGGACCTGCTTGGGAAGAAATTACTTCCTTCACTTTCAAGTAGATGTCTTCCGGTGTATCCCCTTGAATAATAGCTGTGGAAATGAACAATATATACTTAAATACAACTTGATTTTCTTGTAACGTGGAGGCTTTTAATATACAGTAGAAGTGCCATATCTTGCTTCCTTCATGCGCGTTTTCGCTATTTGTGGCAAAAAAGCGACATTATTTCTATATTCGCGTCTAAAAATTTCGTTATTCGCGGATTCCAATATGTATCGAAACCAGAATCTTTTGTAAATGCCGTCACTTTGAACTAATAAAGAAATATTTGACATAAGCCGCCTCCGTTGCCTTCGCCGTCTTCGCCATTATCGGTGTCTTTGAAATCGATCTTTCATCCTTTAGCAATAAATAGAAAATTCGGGACATTTTTTGGTTTTTGTCAAATAACTCACAAATCTTAAAAGCACCGTTTTCAGTTAGATAGGGAGAAACTACATACAATTTACTACAATTCCATTCCAACAATTATATACACTCCGATATAAAAGTTTGGAATAAAACGACTTTGAATTCGATCTTTCATTCTTTAGCAATAAATAGAAGATTCGGGACATTTTTTTGGTTTTTCTCAAATAGCTCACAAATGTTATATGAAAGCACCCTGTCTCCGTTAGATAGCGAGAAACTAGATAAAATTTACTACAATTCTATGCCAACAGAATAAAACGACTTTGAATTCGATCTTTCTTTCTTTAGTAATAAATAGAAAATTCGGTACATTTCTTTTGGTTCTTGTCAAATAACTAACAAATGTTATATAAAATCGGTTCAGTCATTTTCGAGAAAACGTTGACATAAGGTCAATTTTGAACTCAAGTCATGAAAAAGATACTCCTTTATTCTTCAAACTTTGATCAATTTCCAAAAATAAACGATTTGTCGTAGGGCGGTAATAAATATATGATCTCTATCGTCAAAAAAAGTTTCATAAAAATTGTCGAATTTTTTTTTAACAATCAATTATGAAGAAACAGCGAAGCCGATCTTTACTAAAAACTAATCAGTACAATTCCCAAAATATATCTTTCAAAAAAATTTTGAATGATTAAAATCGATTGAGCGATTTTATGAAAAACCGTGGACAAAATTTCGTTCACAGAAAATTCTAAAAACAATAAATTATTTGAAATTAATTGTTCACTTGTCTGCTAATTAAAATTTCTGCACCAAAAAAGGCTTAGCCGACCCTCTTGCAAAACTAAATACAGCGAGTTCTTATGGAGTTACTTCGAATAGATTCTTGAAATTTTGTTGAAACTCTGGTCAGCCACTTTTGAGAAAACGACGACAAAAAATAGAAAAATCGGTTCACATGCAAACACTCGACTTGAAAACATAACATAAGCATAGATTTTTTTGCAAAAACATATTTTTTCTTAGAAAAGTTAATAATGTATTTTTATTAACTATCTGCACAACACCAATAAACATCATTTCATATGATTCTTTGCGAAAACATAACAAATAAATAAATTCACCTGTAAAGTACTCTCCAAATTCTTGTTCCATCTTTAGAGCACGTTCGTAAGTTTTCTTAGACTGCTCTTCAGTCATTCGTTTATTCATTTCCCTAAACAAAAATGTTCAATAAGTAAATAAGTAAATAGAAATAAAAGATCGATATAAAGCAATCATTCATCCATCAGACAACAAGGACTAAACTTTTGAGAAATTATTTCAAAAATTTACATTTCATTATTAATTTATATATTGTTAAATTTCACATTATAATTATACGGGGCCGATTCTGCCATAAAATGGACCGATGTTATGGCAATGCTGTCACGCTGCGTTTTCTCATATAAAATTGTACTTAAAACAGTCAAAATGCAATGAGATTGTTGTGCAGTCAGGCGTTTTAGATAGAATTCCTAACCTATGAAACGCAAAAACGCCAAAAAAGGAATGTTATCATAACTGCATTTCATGTGTAAAACGCGTGATCTCACAGAAAATACATAGCATTTGCAGAGTACCATATAAATATTCCATATAAATGGTACATTTTTGTACTATTTTATATGGAAAACGCAGTGTAACATAGCCTTGCTATAACATTAGTCTATTTTACGGCAGAATCGGCCCCTACATTTATAAAGAAGTAGGTATATTTTTAATCATATTTTTTTTTTAATCAAAATAATAATAATTACATATTATATTTTTATTTATATGCTGACTTATACCATATTCAATCAATGCATAAAAAAGTTAATGCTAAAATATTATTTTATATACAGTTGTAAAGAAGAATCACTAACATCGAAAAGTAATATTAATTTTTTTGTTAATTATTAACTAACCCTGAGTAAGTCAATGAAATAAGATAAATAATAGCTATTTATTATTACTTACATAATAGATTCAATTGATTTTGGTTTGATGAATATTGCAATGGGATAAAGTTGTGCGACTTGAAGTCGTTTTATAGCATTAGCGCTCACATCTAAAATGCAATGTTTACCCTGAAAATAATTCATAAAAAATGTTAGTGATCATAAGAAAATTGTTAGTGATACCAAAACTGTAATTAATAAGAAAAGTTATCTTAATAAGTTTACCTACGACTCAAAAGTTATCTATATATCAAATTTTAGACACTATGTGTAGTATATTTCTAACTGCTAAATAAAGTATGAACAAAAAAAATATTTTTGGCACATGAACTTTCTCTATTAGACTAAAATTGTCAAGTTCGGGAAATAAATGCTAAAAATGAAGATGGAAATATTCACGAAGATTCAACTACAAATGGTTACATCTCCTTGGTATTTCCTATTTTGAGTAAAAGCTTTGGAATACTGTATTCATCTATTTATCAGAAAAATCTATAAAACGCTCTCTATTAAACAGCTACGAGCAAGGGATTTTACACTTGAGCGCAAAATCCTGCAAATTACAACTACGAACAAGCTAAAGAAATAACATTTAAAATGAATATTTATAACTCGTTCTGAATATTTTATTCATAAGGAACATTTCAGAAAAATTCAAAAATATACGTTGACATTATAGATCACGTTTAAATTATTTCGGTTTCACAAAGCACTGTTAACTCATGTACATAATTTATAAATAAAAAAGGAAATTTAGGCGGGGTACTACTTAACCACTCCACTGTGGCACTCATTCAACTGTGCGCTACGCTTATATGCGACTTATAAATATTCATTTTATTCTGGCATAAGTAGTCTAAAAATATTCTTAATATGTTGAAAGATATGATTTTAATACGCATTTCGAGTATACTCGAAAATACACAAGATTTAGTCTGGTTACAAACAACCTTAATCTATTTGAATGTCGGTACTTCCCTACATTTTCACTTGTCGGTAATAAAAAATGTGGTATTATTTAGGACGATGTGAGCATAAATTAGTACAAGAATATTAAAAGATGGAATAGATAAATTATTTATTACTATTGTTATAATTTTAAGTAGCTCACCTTTTCTGCAACTTGACGAACAGAAGCTACAGAAGTTCCATATAAATTATCATTGTACTGTCCTGCTTCAATAAACAAATGATTTTGAATATCACGTTCCATTTGTTCGCGGGATGCCACGAAGTGATAATCTCGACCATCCACTTCATAGCCTCTCTTCGGTCTTGTAGTATCTAAAAAGAATAGAATAAAATTCTGATATAACCTAATATTTGAAGAATAGTTTTCCAAACTTGTTTGTATCGTGGACCCTTGGCGCATTGCTATAGACTGTACTAAAGTTTTGTGTATTTAAATGTTTACTTTAAAGTAACAATACGTGTTATGTTATGTTTCAACATAATTGAATTAATAATGACAAAATGAAGTAAGTAAATGTTTAATTTAATTTTCAAAATATCTACTATCTATTATTTCTATCATTGTAGTTTTCTAATGTTTTCTATATAATATTTAACAATTACTTACGAGGTACGCAGCTGCCGAATTTTTCGGGAAATTCGGAAATCAAATCATCATTGACGCGATCCTTGAGCGGTCCTAATATTATGACTGGTCTGGTGTAATTTATAGTCAATTGTTGCACAGCTTCATAAGAAAGAACGTTTTCTTCGCCTGAATCATAAGAGAGAGTTAATAATTTTCTAATTAGTTGCCATTTTTAATCTATAAGTCTTAGAAATTTAAAACTTCACTAATACTTATAAGCAAAAATAAGGAAAGACTTTATTTAAAAATAATTTTCGACATAAAAATTAGATTTTTTTTTTTTTTTATAAAAGTCAGTTATAAAAAAAATAGTATTCTTTGATAAAATTATAATGACGTCATAAACTACTTGATTAGCCAAACAATACAAAATTAATTTATATAGGTATATTAATTATATTTATTTAAATGCTATTATCAAATGAAAGTATAAATCCTTGTCTTTACTTTGGTTAAAAAAGTGATGTAAGTGTATAAAGTCGCCTGTTGCATTGTACAATAAAACGTACATTATGTTTTAATTATAATTGACAAATTACAGTATTAAATATTATCTAATGCTATGAATAAATAAAATTAGTCATATTTAACAAACATGCGCAATACTTAATTACAAGCATTCACTCACATTTAGAATCTTAGGGATTGAATTAGATTATCAAATGTGCATTGGTAACAACAATAATACAAAAGCTATTTTATAAAATACCAATTTTTAACAAGATCCAAAAAAACAATTAGATCTTTTCATATCATATATAACGAGCAACCCTCAAAAGACATACCATAAATCTACATTTAGAATTTAGATGCCACAATACTAGTATAAAATTATGTACTAAATTTTGAAACTTCAAAAATATAGAATAAACTATTTGAATGTTATTTCATTCTTCGTTAAAATAAAAATCGATAATAATAAGTATTTATGGCAAACTGAATCCTTGGACCGTGCGTGTCTGGACAATATTAATATACAGGGAACTACCAATAGTGATTCAAAAGATCTGCACAATAGACTAGAATTGATTTTGTGGAAAGAATGTTAAACTAACGACCATTTACACAATACTATCAATTTTCGTTAGTGTTCGTGGTAACGTAATGTAAATCTATCTAAATCAATATTTACCGGTGACGACTAACATACTAGTGCCGGATAATATTAAAAAGTTATTAATTGAGAATGAAAAATACTTAACATACGGAAAATGCTAAAAAATATTTAAATCCGCAGGAATTTAGTTATGGACCGCGCTTTTCATGTAACAAACACGAAATTTTACTAAAATATACTACTTGTAAGTAGTAGGAAGTAGTCTGGCCAATACGCCAAAACCTCAATGTTATTCGGCTATCTAATATTATCTAATACTCCGATTATTATTTTTATTTTGTAGAGAAATCCAATAAATATAAAAAAATCTTCAACTTGAATACTGAATTAAACAAAGATGAATATGCTTTATATGTTATTTTTGGCAGGTGAGAGTCAAGTTTTAAATTCAATTAAAAGCGCCATCCAAGAGTATGTGCCTCTAAAATATATTAGTTTAAAGTTAAATAGATAATTAAAATTTGCAGAATACAAGTACATGGCTATAAAATATTGGAATAGCAAATTTTATCAGAAAGCCTAATAACTGCTACAGAATATGAAAACTGAAATATCTAAATATGAATTTATAGAAGAGTTCTGCAGCATATAACAACAAAACAAATTAAGGAAATAATTCATTTCATGCAAACTAAATACAACATCAGTTTCAAATTGAAACTTTCATATAACAATTGACAGCAAGTATTCCTAATTACTGTATATTCACGTGAAATTTTGTATTTACATGAATATCTATATTCATCGCAATGTTTTAAAAGCGCGATGATACTGCAGCACCCTTTTTTCCAATCAGTTGCGGTCAAAATAACAGAAATAAAAACTTAAAAACAATATCCGGCACTGTTTACAGATATTAAAAACTGTACGTGTTTACAATATGAATAAAATTTTTGTTTCTACTTAATAACTAAATCGAACACTATTAAGATGATTTCATACCGGCGACACAGAATAGCAAAACCTAACAAGATAAGATTCAAATTTTGTGTTGAATCAATCCTAAAGTACCATATTTTATCTCTAGTGACGGTTGAAAACTTAGTAAAATGAAAACAGATATGTCAAAAAAGGTGTAATGTTGAAAAATGCAATATCATCATGACTTTAACCAGTTAACTGAGGCGGCTTCTTGAACGGTATGCACAGATTAAAATATAGAATTAAATAGATGCATTTATTTACAAAATTGTAAGATTTACTAAATTCTTTTTCTTTTAACATAAAGATATAAACTATAATTTATTACATATAAAAGTATAAATTCAAGATTATTCTATAAAGTGATACGAACTTCCTAGAATATTACAGGCCTACGAAAAGTAGTTTAATGTAAAATCTTTAGTTATACATATTCTGTGTTTAGTATTGCACACTGTGGACGTGCACTCTTAAATAAAATATATTTTTATTAAATTAAATTAATAATATGTACATACTATACGTTTGTTTAAAGCATATGAATTGCTTCGGTCAGTTTTTTGGTGAAATTTTCAAAAAGAAAAGATGAATTTGAATAGCTAAATTTTAATTCTTCTTGATGAAGTCGATTATTTGCACATATCAGAACGATCTTGAAACTGGCCTTGAAGTAAAAAGCCACTCAGAACTACTTATTTTACCGGAATATTCTGAACATATTGAAATTCAAGATTTTATTTTTTTCAAAAATCACAATTTAAATATCCAACATTACTTCATGACGATTACTATAGGTGCTCGTCAATCACAGTTAACTGGGTAAAGTATTCTCGAGTTTGCGATAACTTTCATTTGAACAGTTTTTTTTATCAAATCTATATATAGTTATAGTTTTACAATAATAATAATATTTTCGGTTAAATATTCAAAATTTGAATCTGCACTTGTCGCCATATGGTAGTGTCGCCGTATGAACGTATCCTTACGAAAACTAAAAATTCTCAGACAAGACACAGTGAGTTTACTATATTTTTCCAATACGACAAAATAATGAAAAAAAAAAAGATGTTTTAAATATTTAAGAGCACTAATATAATATGCATTGCGATGAAAAATAAACTGGTGACTAATCTCGAATCAACAATATCGAGAGGAAATAAAAAATAAAAATTTAAAAATTAGTTGATACAAAATCAAGTGCGGTTCGGTCCTAGCGACAAGAGACAACGATCTTTTTAGCCGGACTTACTGTCACTGCTTTCCGTGTTTTCGAGATAAATCAACTCGATCTGATGCATATCGGGAAGCTCTATGCGATACACGATCTCCCCGGTGCCTGGGGAGATCAAGTGCGTCAGAAGGAGAGATAAAAGATAAAAAGATAAAAGATAAAATGTGAAAAAGATAAAGGAAAACTAAAAGGAAACGACTCACACGCCGTTTGTGACATCAACATACGGACGGCATTTCGTGCGCAGCAAGATATACTTGATATATAAAGCATTTCAAGAATACAAAGTTCTTTGAGAAACTGAATATAATATAAATACACAATGAAATTTATATATATATATATATATATATATATATATTATAGAGAGAGAGAGAGAGAGTAGGGCGGGGCCCAAAGGTCCAATCTGACTTTGAGCAATTTTATTACGAAAATAAAATCAATTAACGAAATGGTTTGGTGAAAATACTCGAGTCTTAAATAATGATAAGACCCAAATCATATCTTTTTGTACAAAAAATCGTTTATCCAATAATATCGCAAGTATCAAAGTTTCTTGGTATTCATATGAATAATAATTTAAATTTATCCAATAATATTACTTCTTTAACCATCAATAATTCAGCATATGACTTTTCGCAAGTATCAAAGTTTCTTGGTATTCATATGATTAATAATTTAAAGTGGTATGATCATATCTCTATCTCACTATCACCAACTTTATCTAAAACATGTTTCATGTTGCGCACCCTAAAACCCAAACTCGGTTTAAATTGCTTACTTTCAGTTTATTATAGCAACTTTTATTCTCACGTTTCCTACGGCATCCAATTCTGTTTTTTTTTTATCCGAACTAATTAAAATATTTAAGCTTCAGAAAAGAGCTATTCGAGTAATTTTTTCCTTGCCCAGTAAAGCCTCCTGCAGACCCATATTTAAAAAACACAATATTCTAACGGTCCCGTGCATTTTTCTGCTGGTAACATTATCTTTCATCAAAAACAATTCGAAACTTTTCGATATGGCTTCGTTCTCCTCAAACTACAACACTAGACATAAACTTATTAAGGAGCGCACATATAAATTAGCCAGTTCTTTCAATACGATCGACGGTCTAGGTATTCAGCTTATGAATAAACTTCCACTCAATATCCGAAACTTAGACAGTAAAAAAATTTATACCCTTCCTAGTTAAACTTTTTAAAGAATTAGCTTTTTATGACATTACTGAATTTTCTCAATTTGATTTCAATAACTATTTTCTTGCATAATCGTTATCCTTTATCTATGTAGTCTGAACATTTGATCGCCTGTACAACCATGTTTTTTAATTGCTATTTTATTAATTTAAATTTTTACGGTTTTAAATGAGTATAACTTTCAACCTTGTGCAAGAATTTTGAGCTTGACTCGTGGTCAAATAGACTTTAATATGATAAACTTGATGATGAACATTGTATTTAATGTTCGAATGCTTTTTTTCAGCTCTTTTTTCAGAAGTGTAATTCAATGATTATTATAAAATTACTGTCCTTTTAATATTAATTATGAATAAGCTTGACAAGAGCCTGAAATATTATCTATTATTATTGATTACGGCTTGCTTATGAATAAATAAATAAATAAATAAATTACATCACTACAAATACCACATATCAAACAAACAACTATCTGAATATGTTCATCATTGTAGAAATATGTTATTTTGCCATTTTTCAAAGAAGCTTTCAATTGGTCATTTATACCCCATATACGGGGTACTACTTTCTAACTAAAAATATAGTTTTGTTATAAATTTGCAATCCTGGCTGCTTATCTCCTAAATAAATCTACGCTTTGCATGTTTTTGAGATAATGGTGGAACTACACAATTTTTCAGCACTAACAGCACTAATGTTAAAATGCCAACTTTTGGAGGCAGTATTTTCCCCATCATCATCGAAAATTTATTACTGTTTCAACCGTGCTATAATTGCTGTTAGCAAACAGACTACCCAATTATTAACTTCCGAAGCAAAAGTTTTTCACGAGAAAATCCGATTTGCAAGATTTTTTGTCAGTGTTTTCGTATAAATTCTCAACCTATTTTAAAGACTTTATTCAAAAGATATCATTTGGAAATTGTGCCGATTAGCTTTTGGCAAAGCGCTGTTTATCGTAACTGATTGCCATTGTTTTTTTGACGATTTTAATGAAACCTTGTATAATAATATTAAACCATTTGTCAAAAATAACAAACATGTTTGAAAAACTTGCTCAAATTGCATAACCAACCTTAGTTTCTCACATTATAAGCTCTATAGGAACTCGGTTGTTACTATTTCTAAAAATATTAAAAATAAAATATCTACAAGAACCTGAATGATCGTTTACAGTTTTAAAACTTAATAAGAAACACTTTACAATACGCACGAAATGCCGTAATTGATGTCCAGCTAAATGAACCGAATAAATGATTTGATAAATGAATTATTTAAAAAAAGCTACTATAACATTGCTGACTCGATAGATATGCATGTATATAATCGTTACAAATTGAATTATATATTTTGAAATTTCATATAATATCGATAATATTTTTGTAGTGTTGCATTTATAGTTTTAGATTTGCGCACACACAACTTTGCGATGCAATTAAATTCATACATGCACGATTAGAATTTAGCAGCAAAATATGAAAATATATAGTTATTTTACACATTTTTTGAACAGAAACCGAACAGACGGTTTCTTACAGTCAAAATTTTAAGAAATATGCACTAACAGCATATTTACGAAGCTGAAGTTGAATTTAAAAATAATCATTTTTATTAGTAATCCAAAGCCAACAATAAACTTTCGGATGAAAAATATTCAAAATATCCAATGTTTTAAATTTGTATTTCACAATTTATTGATTCTTTTTAAAAACATTTGTAAATTCAAATTCAGCGGATTAATGTATAAATAGTGCAGAAACTAAAACAATATGAATATTTCAAAGTTCGATCATTAAATGTTAACATTTGTAATTTGAAATATTGACTATTTTTTAAGTTTTGAAAATATTTGTATAATAAATTTTGCATACGATATATTAACCAACTGAATAAACTATTTCTTCATCGCCTACCTCTAAGCAGTTATAAATCTAATATGATCCAATTCAATAATTTAATATTCATATGCAATACTTAAAAATGAGATCTTATTAAAAACACATTACAATATCATCCAAACTATTTTACTAAATTTTAGCAGATATCACATTTCTTCCTGCGTGTACTATATTATACTAAATTATTACTAATCTAATTGGCATAATCTGTAAAAATATGTTTATATATCTAATATAAGCCTCATATTTCAAGCCTAACATAAATCATAAAGTTAGGAAATATGTTTGAAAAACGAACCACGAACCGTCACTTAGTCAAACAACAGCACCAAATAGTTGCAAAAATTCATAACTCAATCGCTGTAGTAAATTCTAATGTAATAAATAAAATTTTTGATAGAAAAAATCATATTATGAATATCTTGTGAACTATTTATATGTCAAATCATATAAATTGGTAAAGTACTTAACCATATTCCTTGATTTCCAAGTACCAAAACAAGAAGAAGGAATAGTGGTATAACCAATTCTGAATCGATCATTTATTATCTCTACATTTTTTAGATCTACTAATAACTGGAAATATTACTTAACGCTAATTTAATTTAAAAAAAGATATGTAAAACGTTTGATTAAAAATAATTTCACTATATTTTAAGGAATCATTTATAATAAATAGCAATCAATAAGTCAATGTAAATTATTGAAGTTTTGTCAATAAATTTGAATAATTTCAGTGTAATCAATAAATCATTATAATAATATTAATTTCTGAAATGAAAACGAACAGTCGTACAAATAAAAAAATAAACAGATTATTTTTTGCGCAATTTAATATTGTTAAAGTTTCTCACAGACTGTTTTATTAAGTGAATCATTTTTCTCGCTATTCGATTCCTCTAGTTTTGTCAATTATTATACAATCTAGTTTTTTGAGACTACAGAGTGATTGAGCAATGAAGTAATATATTGCAATAAAAATAATAATTACCATCACACCTCAAAAGCTGCGTTTTAATCTTGCGAACATTTAAAATGCATACAAAGATGCTACATAAACGCATAAAATATTTTATATAAAATAAAACATTTATTTATTAATACATGACAACTATTCGATGCGCTCAATTATAAAGAATCCTGAAGTTTTAAATAACGATACTACCAATATAATTAAAATATATAATGTAGCTATATAGTTTGTAGTATCGAAGAACTTTCTGATTGAACTATCCCGCAGAAAAATTAGATATTAATTTCTACAACAGACACACAGACAGCACACATTTTCCTTATATTATGAAATAAAAGAACAGATCACGCACGCCCCACATTCAACGATTATTATATAGGTATCCGTTAATTTATTTCTACATAAAGGTAACAGTACATAAAATCAATTCCATTAAAAAATATTTTTTCTAAAAATTCAAAATGCACATGACTTACCATCGGGATTTGCTTCATCTTGAGTGTAGCACAACATAAATGCTAAAAAAGAAAATTTGGGGTCAAACAGAGGAATGATTACAAGTATATAAGATATAATTTGAATACTTGTAAGGATCAGGGCACATGCTCATTTCCTCAAGTATTATGAAAAAGTTAGTATTGTTTATTTTATTAATTTGTAAGAATATTAGTGCAATTATAATATAAAATATATGAATATTATAATATTGCATGTTGCAAAAAATTTAACTTTTTTAAATAAATAATTTTTTTAATCCGATTGATAAAAATATTGGAACTAAATAATTTATAAACTAAAAGATATTTACGTTATTTAAAAAATAATATATGCAAAAAATCTTGTAAATTGAAATGAATTTTATTCGGAGTCGTTTCATTGATAGTAAGTTGTATGAATGTATTAAAGTAAGTAACAAACAAAAAATTTTAATGAAGACAATTATTATAAAATGAAGATAATTAAAGAAAAAAAAACATAATAATTCTATGCAAAGAAGTGGCCAAGTAATGTCAATGGTAAACAGTTTGCATGCAAATTAATTAATTAAATTTTTATATAATCATGATATGCATATATCTTTTTTATAATGCGATTTTACATAGCATTTTTGGCCACTGCTTTGAACACATTCATAAATAATAATACTTACTATGAGATTCATTATCATTAGATTCGACACCATGTTGATTAGGGGCTGTAATGTAATAAATAAAAATAAACAAAACCAAAACAAGTAACAAAATAGTGCAATAAACAAAATTAATAATAACTTTCAATAAATGTTAATTAAAGAAAAAACAAACTCAGATCAAATAACATCAGAGCAATATTAATCATGACATTAAATGTCAATTAAATACCAAAAACACTAAAAAATATTTTAATAATAAATAGCAAACAATTTGCTAAAAAAATAAAGACCAAGAAACAAAAAAAACATATGTCTACTTCATCAGAGTTATGCTGTTACCATAAAGTATGTATCACACATAGAACTTCAGCAAATTCATCAAAAATTTTTGGAGGGTATATAATAATTATTGTTGCTGAAGATGAACTGCTAGCAAGATGTAAGAAAAAGTGAAAGTTCAGAGCAAAGTTAATGAAAAGTTAGTGAAAAATAAAGAAAACCCTAATTATGAAATTTCTGGTTTAAATTAAATTTTTAAGGGGGCATTCTACTGTAGAAACATGAATTTTGCCCGGTTTTTGAAGCGCTGTATAAAGAAAACAAATAATATTTTTACTATCGATTTTTTTATCATTTGTTAATTGATATTTTATTATTACATAAAAAAATATTAAAAAAAAATTCGAATTCACAAAGTTATGAGCAGTCAAAGTGGGGGCTCAAAAAAAAAAGAGGGTGTCCTGGCGTGCATGATTCCAACCCTCCTGGTGATCCGAAACATAAAAAATAGATGAATTCTTAATTATTATAGATGCCGCTATCGTATGAACTTTGGATAAGTTAAAAAAACTTTTGTTTGAAAAAAATTTTTTTTCATATTTTTTTTTTAACTATTCCGAATTTTTTTAAAATACTAAATGAAAAGTTATAGTTTTGGGAAAGATCCATGCGATAAAGCGATGTATATAGAAGATCCTCTCCAAATTTGGAGTAAATCGGTTAATTAGAACTCGAGATATCCTTACCGCCAGCTCGAAAAAAGTAGTTCCGAGAAAAACGCGTTCCAAGTTTTGAGACTCGGTCGGACCCGAACCGAGGCCACGTCACTAAAACGGCTATAACTCAGGAAATAATAGTAATTTTGAAAAATCCTTTTAATGATATATTTTTGAATAACTAAACTTTGAAAATATGAAAACAAATTTTTTTGATTTTTTCAAAATTCTACAGTAGAATACCCCCTTAAGTCAGATAAATTCAATACCTATTCTGCAAAACTATTTTAATTTAACAGTACAGATAAAGTAAGAAAAAGCTGTACACATTAAAATTACATGTTAAAATCCCCAATTTCAAATATTAAACTATTAAATTTAATAAATTTCGAAATATATTAAACCATTTTGTGGCAGGCAAATAAGTTTGACGAACAGAAAGAATTTCATGAAGTATGTTTAATACATACATAATAACTCAACAAGCACATAATACTCACGTTCCTGATCAGATCCATCCTCGCTCTTATCATCTTTAGACTTCATAAATGGAAACTTTCTGCTGAATGCAAAGTTATTTTTCTTCTTCCTATCGAGCGTGCTTTGCTTATCCCCAACTTGTCCAGGCTGTTGTCCCTGGAACTTCACGCTGCGATCTCTGGCCTTCTGTTTCCTCTCCCAACGTTTGCGAGAAGGAACTATGCCAACCGTACCTTCATCAGCACCTCCTGGAGGAGGTACCCGGCGAGCCTGCCACCATTCGTCGTCGCTGGCGTTCGTCACGTGTAAAATATCGCCGTGACGGAATGGCAGTCCGCGTGACGGAAGACCGTCATCGCGGTTCGGGTCGTAGTCGAATAACGCGCGCACGAACAAAGTGCGTTTTTGCGAAGTGCGCAGCAATGTGCCGCCCGATGTGCTAAGTTTTTGCTTTAGATCGGTTATTTTGGCCTCAAAGCGGTTATAATCATCCGGACGATACTGTGCTATTATTGTCACCGTCTGTCCGGTACTCTGCAAAGTTATTCATGATTAATTTTATGGTTATATCAAAAATAATGCACGGGTTTGGAGGTAGTATAGAAAACTGCTCAGAGGATGAGGATATCTTGCAGAAAAAAGATCATGTTGGATAGTACTTACTTGTTAATTATGACGAAAAAAATCATATAATTCAAGTATATTACTTCTTAAAAAATGAATAAATGTAACAATATTTATTATAAAATCGTGATATGTAGCATGTTTTTTGAATTCTTGAAACGCAACCCCTTTTTGTACTAGTTCTTTATCCCTTATAACACGGATTCGCATAACACGCTAGTTTTCTGGAACGTAACTACCGTGTTGTACGGGGGTTACTTATATATAGTATTTCTATATACCAATTAGAGATGGGCTTATCATATCCGAAGCTGGATCGACTCGGATTTGACTCCGCTTCAGGGAGAAGTTATATCCGCTTAACAACTCCACGACTCCGACAGCTTTGAAACCGAAATACTCGACACAAATGTGTTCTATAGTACACTGTTCATGTATCTAAGGATGTGTCAAATCCCGTTAATTATTTGAAATAAAAATTTATGAATAATCAATAAAATAATTTTTCTAAAAAATTCACGAATAAATGGCGGATTGTAAAATTTTTCGGTCGACCAGATGATCGACTCAGTGACTCGTATTTTTAGCAGTGTTGACCAAAGTAAAAACGCAAAACTTAAGAATCAAATTCAATTTAATGATTTCCTTTTGATGAGAAAATAATTGATTTTTTGGATTAATTTTATATAAAAATTATGTAGCAAACTTTGTAATAAAAGCAAAACATAATACTTCTGCTTTCAAAATTTTTCTTCTGCTATTTCCATTTGAAAATTAATATTATATCGTGTAGTTCGATTAGCATATTATTACTTTTACACAATTATATAATTGTGTAAAAGTAATAATATAATACTGAATATTTTTTACTGCTTAAATACTAATGATATCACTGATAAATTTTGTACTCTAAAGTGTTGTTATTTCAGGCTATGGAAAAACAAGATTAAATAAATGTATTTCGTTTCGTATATTATTCGGTATGTATATAAAGATTGTCGTAGTTAGAAATATCACCCCTTACTATTCAATAAATTATACATTTGAGCTATTCACACTTGAATACAATTTCATTGTTCTGTATCTTTAAAGTAACATTTTTGTATTTTCTGGAAAATACACAATGGTATTTATTTTGACTTTTATACCTAAAAAGGTCATAAAACGGATTGCGAGACAAGAAAGTGACCGCATCCTTCCCAAAGCAAAAGATGAATGCCTGTGCGAGTTAACAGATTTAATACCAGTTTAAAGAAGTCGGATATGACATATCCTGTGAAACAACTCCACTCGGATTCACTCCGAGGGAGGAGTTGTATCGGAATGATAACTCCGGAGTGAGTTACCATCTCTAATACCAACTAATTTAAAATTTTCGGTTGCAAATCAAAACTTGTCTCTTATTAATAAATGCATGAGTTCGTTTTGCAAATTATTACATTTCGATAAATTTTCCTACCTTCAATGTTTGTGCAGCCTCCTCGTGCGTTGCGTTGCGCAGATCAACTCCGTTAACGCTGATGATCTGGTCGCCACGACGCAACTCACCTCCAGCATCCGCAGGTCCACCGGCCAAAATAAATGATACAAAAATGCCTTCACCATCTTCACCGCCCACGATATTAAAACCTAAGCCACTATTGCCTTTGTTAATAACAATTGTACGGGGCTCCCTAGAAATATAAAATAATACTTAAAACTTTTGTTTAACAATGCAAAAATAAATACAATGCTGATAGTGCAGTAATAATTACTATATCGGTATATATAAGCACTATTTAACCAAGTGAGCTTTTCGAATTAGAGAAAGAATAGAATCCTGAGATATTTTGTAAGTCTCATGATTTCAATAGAAATTACCAAGCTGTAGATCAAAAGTACTATTTCAATATATTATTATTATAGTATTATTTGAACCATGATCAGAACTTATAGTTCTATGAGCTCTTGTGGTGATTTATTTAACTAACTACGTTGGTTTTTATAGATGACAACCAAAACAGTTGTTTCTCATATTTATGTGATGAACTTTATTATTACAATTTCTGTAATAAATTTTGAATTAATACAGAAAAGGCAGGTTAGGGCTCTTTTTACTTGGAAACATACTGCTATCCATATTTCCGAGTAAAACCGATGCCACTACTATTTGACATCAAGTAGCTCTAGACAAATATCGACATTGAAATCCCATAGCTCTAACCAATCACGTGCGTGACCATTTTATATCATAGAATTATATACACAAGCAAAATAAATTAACTTGCTAAGTTATAAACCACATGTAAAATAAATTAAATACCTAGAGATATCTTCCTGGCTTACAGCTCTCGGTGTAAGAGGTCTTGGTAAAGTTTGTGAATGATGTAAATTTGCTGTAGAAGCCCGCAACGGTGCGCTGTCGGTCACACAATCTAAAATGATTAATGAAAATCAAATAAAAATAAATCAATCACTATACAGTAGGCCCCCGCTTTACATGGCACTCTGGGTACACGGTTTCCATACTACACGGAGTTAAAAATCCGACATCCCTCCGACTGCACGGACTTTCTATTACACGGTTTTTGTTCAACAGCGCATAAATTCCTTGCGCAACCTATGAGTGATTATAGGAATTTGATATCAAAATTCAAAAGGGTGTTAATGTAAGTTTTGTTATCGACTTCTATCTTTTAGACATGTCTGATTATATAATAGCTGTCTAAAAACACGTTTGAGCTGACTACTGCATCGCGCCAATTTTTGAATATGGTGTCAATGTCCTGCAAGTCATTTCGTCTGTATTACTCCTACTTCAAGTTGTAATTCTTGGTGCGATTTGTACCAACTCTGAGTCTATCATAGCACGGTTCCCATACTGCACTATGTAAGGTTTCATAGAACGCATTACCAATTAGCCTGAATTGTATGTTAAATACGAGGTTTTTATAGCACGGTCCCCAAACTGCACGGTACGCAGTTGTCACGTAAAGCGAAGGTTTACTGTACCTCATTTTAAGTAATAACGGGTGAATGTCAAAGTTCCAAATCAATTTATAAAATGAGACAATTGCAAGGCAGATGAAAAGTTCAATAAAAAAGCAATATAATTCTAATCAGTATTACAACTGACCAGGTCGGTGTTCGGTTTTTCCAATGAGCAGCACAACTCTATCCGTAGTCGCTTTAAGCGTCGCAACCGCTTCTTCGTGTGTCACGTTTTGAAGATCTCGTTCGCCCTGCGCCGTGTTTCGCACCGCCACTAACTTGTCACCGACCGCCAGGCGGCCATCGGCATGTGCTGCGCCGCCTTCCATAATTTTTGTAACGTAAATTCCTGCAATTTAACATAATATTACTAGTCCTAGTAGATCATAATATTACTAGTACCTAGTAGATCATAATATTACTAGTATTAGTAGTCGCTTAAGACTCCATGCGGTATGATAACAATAGGCCTACCGGAAAGTTGTGTACGATTGTGGAATAAAACAAAGTACTTTATTTCTCTCGCCATTTAACATTCTTGAACAATATAATTGTAATTATTGATAACCATCTCTTTACAGCGTGAGGGCAATCTGTATATCCCATCATTTTTGAAAAATGTTCTATCTTTGATACAAAAAAATGGAACCAGTCCTTATTTTTGAACATCTTCATTTTTGAACTTTTTGCTTGTCACATAATTTTGTGATGATCTGAAGGTGCTTTATATTAAAGACGTTATAAAATCAACTGTCATCATAAATTAGAAAAGCACTCCATTTCACTCGTTGCTCCGCTGCCCCATGCTCCAGATGAACTTTATTATAGTTTATTTACCATGTCAATGTGTACATTAAGCGATAAAAATATAGAGCCAAACATGCAATAAACGTGGAATGAATGATGTTATAAATTCGGACAAAAAATTCCGGTAGGTCTATATATAGCATTTATTTTTCATAATAGATTATAAAATTTCATATTAATACAAACATTTAACCAATAGTTTGTGTGACTTGTAGTAGTGGTTTTAATAGCCTCTAACAAACGTTTCGATTAATAGATAATGCATAAATTGTCAAATTATAAATTAACAAAGCATTTAATCATACTGAAATATAATACATAGCTGTGCTATAAATTTTATTTCAGCAAATAACGTGCTATTGTGCACGGCACGTAATTAATTTCAAATTAAATGTCCTAAAAGTGTTTTTTAATGACGAGTCAAATTATTTATTTAATAAAAATGATTATTTGTTTTGTTTGTATTTATTAACAATGAATAATTAATTAAATTCAAAATCAATTCACACGTTCGCAGACAGTAAAAGTTCAAGCACAGTACAGAAATTACAGTCACATTTAAAGCGGTCGTGAAATTTGATTAAACACAGTTTATGAAAGAAGTTTTAATCGTTATATAAGAGTAATGCTTCTATTTTACTCAATATGCTTGCCCAAGCTCATTAGTGACTATCAGTTAGTCATTACCTAATTATTTTCTTAATTATTGAAAATAATGCAGCAAATAAAACGTGTAATCCTTCATTAATACTACTTAACTGATATTACATATTTACATACCATTATCTCCAGGTATGTGTTGATTGCCAATACCACCAGCAATACTAAAACCAAGTCCCTTATCACCTTTTACCAATTCCAATTCCATAAGGCGAGGACCAGCAGGACGGCGTCGTTTTATCAACTGAAAAATATTACATAGTTAAAAATTGACAAAAATGATAATCACATACCTCAGTACAACAAAACAATGTTAGCACGTTAAACGTCACGATAATACCAGAAAAAAATCATATGGGCAATGGTAACTTTATTAGATAATTTAGTTAAAAACCTATCAGGATAAGTTCACAACGACGATATTTGGAAAATTTAATAATGTTACATAATAAGCGCATATCATAGTTTGTCTGCAGAGAACGATAATATTATATTCATTACGCAATATTATCATTGATTCAATTATAACGTACATTAAATACCATGATCAATGAGGTCACTCATTATATATGGTTCAATTACAAATGTATGCACATCTATAATAGCAAATAAACTAACTAAATTACTATCGGGAGGAATTTAATATAAAACAAAATTATTCTAATAATAATCAATTATTTTAATTCTAATAATAATCAATTAATCATTGATGATAATATATAAAGGTATTTTAATGAATATAATGAATATTATATTACTAATTTCACAGATTTTCAAGGAAAAATATCCTTATCATTAATTTATTTCATACTTAAAATAAAATCATCATCATTATCACTCCGCTGCTTTCAAATCAAACATAACATTTAACATGGATTCTGTCATTATTCCAATCTATTCTACAAATTTTTAATACATACACACACTTAAAATAATGTTTTCAGTACAATACGAAAAAACGTGCAATCCTTCATTAATACCACTTAACTTAAATTAAGGGTGTATTCTGGTATGCAGGCATGATTTTTATCCGGTTTTTGAAAGGCAAACAATATATTTACTTATTAATATCATACATTTTTTGCCGGGCAAGTTAAAAGAATATTTTTCCAAATCTTTTTTTTTTGATATTCTCGATTTTTTTTAATATTAAAATTCGAAATTTGGGGATGACCATAGTTCATAATAAAGACAAGTTTTTAAAGAAGACTCTGTAAATATTTCAAGTAAATAGAACCAGCAGAAGTTGAGAAATCGTGGGTATCGTATTGAAAGACAGTTTCGAGAGAAAAGAAACAAGAGGATTTTCGTACATATATCTCCGAAAATAAAGAAAATTCTCTTGTAAACATATTCTTGAAGAGCGTAAAAAAATCGATTTTTTTAATTCTAGACCAGAGTACCCCTTTATTGTGATCCGTAGAAATTACTATATTTAATAAATAGATTTTATGTAAACATATTCCAAAGCATGAAATTACGGTTTGCGCTTACAAACATTGGACACATTGTGATTATAAACAATGAAAGCATAGTTTGTACTTATAAATATACTTAAGTATATAAAAATGTAAAGAATTTATTATATCCCAAACTTTTATATCGAATACGCACGATATGATTGATTCATTTCTTAGGGGGCGTCCATTAATCACGTGAGGTTTTTAGGGGGAGGGGGGTTTGACAAAAAATCACGAAATATCACGTGGGGGAGGGAGGGGTATAGTAAGATATCACGTGTATTTATTTTTTAAATATTTTTTTTAAAAAAGTTCAAGCATTTTCAAAAATAATTAAAAAAAATTTAGTTTTTTACGTACCTAAAAATACACGTGATGTTTGGTGGGAGAGGGGGGGTAATTTTGAATATCACCATGTATCACCAAGGGGGAGGGGGTCTAAAAATCCTTAAAAAATAGCTCACGTGATTAATGGACGCCCCCTTATTCGAAGCAGTTATTGAAAAGTTAGTTATGTGGCAGCGCACCGCCGGTTGTTTATTCGACTTTTCTTTCTCTATCCAGTAAAATACAATAGAATCATCTTTTACCCACCAGTTTGACTGTGTTTCCAGCTCTCTTGAGCGCTTCGACCGCTTCCGAATGCGGTACGCCCTGCACGTCGCAATCGTTGACGCGCAATATGCAGTCGTCGACCGCCAGCCGCCCGTCCGCGCAGGCCGCTCCACCTGGGATCAGTTTCGTGACATAGATCGAGGTGTCGCGTTCCACGTGCGGATTGTCCGTGCCGCCCGCGATGCTGAAACCGAGGCCGGTGTCGCCGCGCTCGAGAACCACTTCTTGGATTGTCCATGACGCAGGATCGTCACCATTCATCTGAAATTGGATTGGAACTATGAGTAAAGAAATATGCCGGATATACTTTTCATTTCATACGGAAAAGCAACTACTATTCATAAGAAGAATTATATTTTTCATAAATCTCGTCAATTTTTTTTAATTGAAGCAAAGTAATTAATCATTTTCTTAGATGTTGATCACATTTTTCAATACCTATTGTGAATATAACAACTTTTTTTTAATAACAATATGAATATAAAAACTTATTTAACAGATATTAATAAGCTACTGAACCTTTTGAATAATAGTGTTCCTGTAAGGCTAAAATTTTTTGTACTGGTGATTCGTAGCGTGCTAATGTAAGTACGAAAACCATCATCTCGCAAGTTTCAGTCTTGCACATCATGTCGCTAGGGTTTATACACAAACGACATTCCAGAAAACCGGTTTTCGAATTTTAATTTGACTAAAAAACGGTTTTAACCGGTTTTCGAATTTTATATAAAAAATACATTTTTGCTCGAATATTCTGTAATATATCCGCAAATTTAGTGTAATTTAGAGCAGCATTTGACTGAATTTATTTATTGTTTAATTTTAGAGATAGTAAACAAAATTATTTTAATTTTAATTAGTCGAACTAAAAAATAATGGCTTATCTTGCTTAAATAACTATGGAAATAATTATTCGCTATTCATGCATTATTTTCACATATAAGAATGAAAATAGTTTTATGAAAGTGAAAAAAATCATTAAATAAAAAAAAAAATTAAAAAATATTAGATATATGTTGATACATACTTGTTAATATCAATTTAGCTAAACAATTAAAACTAAACTCGGGTATTGTTTGTTCCGTGCAATTTAATTAATTAATTTTAAACATTCTAATTGTTTTTTTTTTTAATAAAACATAATTTCAAAAAAACTGAGAACGGCTATCGAATTGCTACATAGATGTGTCCTTTGTTTACTCACAAAATTTCCTGAAATAGAAATTACTCTAATACTTGCGACCAAATTATGCTTAATTGTTTTTAATGTCTGATATAATAATTCTAAGTTCTTTAATTTGTGACTTCTAGGGTTTAAAACTCTTTTTTTAAGTTTGAGTAGAGAAAGTTACTTCTTCAAGAAGTCATACTGATTAATTAATATAGACAAAACCTTTCTGGAAACCATTGCAGACTGATAAGATATCAAATGCTATTGAACCGATATGATTTCAAGAATCAAAACGCTTTCATCTATCTTTGATATTTGGCTATATTTGTCATTTTCCATTTATACAGTGAAAACCGACTTTTTTAACTAAAAACTGGTTTTTGGAAACCGACAAACCCTAATGATCGCCCAGGAGTTTGAAAATGCAAAGAAAAGCTCAAAAATTGAACTTATGCCTGTAAGCTTCAAATTTGTATACAATTTCAATTATTTATTGAGATGTTCAAAAATCAGATTGCCAGAGCATTTGAACTTGCACAAGTACCTGTCAGACGAGCCGAAAATAAGGTTCACTTTTATGAGCAAGATGTATAATAAGCATTAAAATAAATTTGTAACTACGATAAGGTTAAAATTTATATATGTGATTGTCGATTATTTTTAAAAAAAAGGTATGTAAGGGCAAGGTAGGCTATTCTGTCCAGCCTAAGCCCTTATCAGGCGAGTGAAATGATGCTATTTTGAGAGCGTAAATAATCAAATAGGTGTAACGTGATACTAATTTCATACATGTAAATTATAATATGTGAATATTAAAAAATAAAACTATGGTCAAAATGAATTATTATGAACGATAATTAGAATCATTTACATGATAAGTTTGTGTAGCTTTTATTTATTATGTAATCTAAATGAAAAATGCATTAAGTAGGAAGAAAAGAAGGCGCAGTTCATGTTACGTTGGCACTCTAATCATTCACAGCTATGTAAATTTTAGTACACACATTAATAGTTATCAATTATTATATATAATAACCAAATGTTATATGGTTCATATACAACCTATTTTTTATCATATATAAATCACAAACAGTGTTATAACTTGAAACATATATATATACATATATATATATCTATATATATTAATATATATTATATATATATAATATACATAATATATATATATATATATATAATATTATATACAGTAATGCATTTTTAATTTCAACCTAGCTTTGAACTGAGCCGACCTGTTTCATACTGTTCACTGGCGTTTAAATAATTTAAACATCAACGAATTTGAACTAGATGCGTTGTATCAATTTCATTAATTAATTTAATGAATAAATTCGCATATCATTAATTGAGAATGAGCGCTTTTGCAAAACTTTAAACGCTTTTGAACAATAAGCTTTTGAGCTGCTGTGAGTGAATAATGGACTATTGAATTGAAAAGAAAAAAACTGCTATATAACAGATTAGAATAATTTACAGAATGTTTTTTACGCGACGTATATTTACTAAATTAAAAAAAAAATCATTCTTCTGTTTATTTGAACTGCAAAACATATTATTCACTATATTAAGTAAACGTAATTAACATTTAGTCTGAAGGAAAGTTGCACAACTTCTCAAAAAGTGTTAATATTAATATTTCATAATAATGCTTATGCGCGGCTGAATATTCCAAAATCTAATAAATTATTCTAAACTAATCTTCGTAGTAAGCCTTAATGTTTTTGAATGTTCATCGAATTCAGGACTAAAATCGAATAAAGCAACTATTACCAACTGATAATTTTCGAAGTTTTTGATTCAAAATCGTTCTAAACTCAATTCATTTCCTAAAACGTTTTAATCTAAAGTCTTCTTAATTTTCGAAAATATCAACTCATCATCTTCCATTCAAAATAATCATTCATAATCAAAAATTCATCTTTTATTTTATCGAAAAATCCTTATTCATCAACCCTTTCAGATTAGACGTTTAACAAATCATTGCAAATGACTTGCAATAATTCTAGAAAAACATATGTAATGATTCAACATTACTCAAGTCTATAGAAGTTTATCATTATACAGAAAGATCAGCACTAAAAATTAATGTAGCATGATTAACTCAATCATGTGTTTATTGGTGATGAATGAATAATTTTATCAAATATTTAAAAATCATTTGGGAGTTGAATCATCAATAATTAAAAAACTTAAACCGAACTATTTTTAAAAAAAAAGATTTACATTAATTTATATATATATACGGTACGCTGAAGAGAATAGCCTTTTCTCGTAAACGCTACATTTAAATTTTAGAAAAAAATCAAATAAATATTAAACTGATAAATGCTCTTAAGTAGCAAAGACGAACAATTATATCTAAAAAATAAACGCAATAAAATAAAATTAACTTTATTGCTCTAAACTATATTTTACTGCGTATATTAGTACAGTATTTATAAATACTACATAGCAAGAGACGTAACAAACGATGTAACTAAATATCAAATAATCATATAATAAAATCACAACCAAATTGTCAGCGAGATAAATATAAATGGCCAGTGTAATTATCCAAAAATCAACATGACAAATAATACAATTAGGCAGAAGTACTGATGCATCCAATAAAATACAAGCTTCGAAACGCCGAACATGTAACGCAATGGAAAATTACATAATAATACGGTTTGAAATATCACTAATACGAGCAACACACTAATTAACTATTTGTGGCAAATAGTCAATGTCCAAAATGTGCACGTTACCAAAAGCGGATACATAATGCAGAAATGGTTTGACGCTCAAAGGCAT